CAGAGCCTTCCTACCCTCGAGCAGATCATTATACATTATGACTCTCAGGCAGAGAAAAAATTACTCTTTCCACTGAAGTTGACAGTAGTCCAGCAGGAGCAAAACGTGCTTGGCAAAGTTAGATCAGCACCAAAACCTTCTGTTAGGTGTACTGAGTTTTACTGGTGGAATTACATTACCACATTTGAGTTGATCCCTCTTGCTTGATTGCATCAGGATTTTGTGATGTATCACAGAACACAGATATGTACATGGTATAGTTGCTCAGTGGGGAAAATCTGAATAAACTGAACGTAACTAATTAGGGTACACTTGCAGGTATGGAAGTTAAGATTCCTTGGGTTGATGTCTACCATTTATTTGAGGGGTGAATGTAATGGAGCCAAACCTCCAATTTCATCTGTAGTCAGCAGGATTCAAACCTGTTCAGCAAACCTCAGTAATTTTTAGTCTGTGGCCTCAACCATTCTGCCTTGACTGTGTGACGCATTTGTGGAAACCTCGCTGTGCTGGTAGGAAGGTCACTGCTGATGACTTGCTCTGGCCATGGAGAGTAAGATGATGGTATGACTGTCATTGTAAGCCACAGGTCCTGTGGTGCGGCCTCTCCAGCCACTGACTGCTCTCCGTGCTTGTAAGTCACCGCACTGTGGGAAATCGGTGGGGGAGTGTAGCCCAAGGGTGTTGAGATCTGGCGATTTCTTGGATGTCAAGATTAAGATCCTTTCAAGGAACTCTAATACCACAAAAGGCTGAGTCTCTTGATCTTACCTTCACTTTGTAGAGCAATTAAGTAGCATATGTAGTGTGTGCAGTTTTCCTAACTGAGATACTGCTGATTTTTGTAGACAAAATGCACGAAAAATCTCACCATTTTATGTCTGTATAATGTACTATCCACAGTGTGGGAGGACATACTGCTGAGAAGGTCAGTCATGATTCATTATATAGACACTGAATCTTCTTTTCATCGCATTTGCAGCTCGTACATCTTTTCAGATACTTTTACTTGTCACTTTTCAAGTAAGTAGCTAAATTAGTAGCTGAGCTGTAAATAATAGTAAAACCCCTCTAAAAACAGTCTTACTGTTAAAGTGAAAGCATATTTTAAAATTTCAGTGATTTTCCACTGTCTCTTCTTTGCTGCTAACTTGTGAAAGAGGGAGCAAGAAGTTCACATCTTCATTCATGTACAGACTTAGGTAAAAAGCTTAATCCTTCAGTGGTAAATGTTAAATGCTTCCTTCGAGTTTCCCAGCAACTTTAAGTCCTTCCATCAGCTTCTTGAATTGCACCCACAGCACCTTCTCCAAGCACAGAAAACCAAGGCAAAAGATTTAGTATCTATAAAAACTATTTAACAGGGAGGTTTTCTGTGAAACATTCGAAGATCCATGGCACTGCACAGACCTATTATAAAATCTCTCCAAGTCACTGTCTGAAAGCACAGCACTCTCTAAAAGTATCGCAGAAGGCTCTGGTTGTTCACCTGTCCTCCCCTGCAACCAAGCAGTGAGCTAGAAGAGAGGGAGAATCCAGATGCATTAGCAATCCTCAGAAATCTCTGTGCTCCTGGCTTGGTACCCCTAATGATTTAGATACTGCATATCGAAACTGATTGCAAAATCCGTACTGTGGATCGAAGCTCCTTAAGAGCTTTATGCCCATCCTTGCACAGAAGGGTAATTGTCAGTGATCTGAGCTTCTGTCCTGGAAGTCTAAATTAAGAACAAGCCTGTGGGCTGCTGCTAGGCCTGCAGTAACTTCTCAGGCTTTGTCCTCCCTCTGTAACTGGCTGACCTGAGCTGCCCCCAGAATACAAATCCGCTGTACCATGCTGTCACAACAAATTACTAAATATCAGGCAGCACCACAGAGGAGACAGAAGCCAGGATCTTAGTGAAAGCAAAAGGTTGCTCTCCCATGCTTGCTGAGGAATTAACGCAAACTAAATGCTTTGGTGGGAGGGAAACGTTCCCCCTTCTCCAAATGCTACCCTGAGACCTGATCCAGAAAGTAATCAGGTCTCCCATGAGGAGAGGGAGTAAGATGTAAGGAGGCTCTGCTGGAGCATCACCCACGTATCTAAGAAGTGCACCCAACACACTGCAGTGCATGCAGGCTTTGGGGAAGGGAGTTGGAGGGCAGAATTTTCTGTTTGCATTGGTCCTGGTGGAGTCTGGGTGCAGGTGCAAACCAGGGAGGGAATTTGTGCAGGGAGTGAGCACTTGATACCCCGTGTCTCCTGCGGTATCGTCTGAAGCATGTGGGCAATGCTAGGTGCTTAATGAATGTGGGGCTGCAGGAGCAGGTCACCCGCAGTCTCCATCCGCATCAGTAATGGCACTGGGCTTTGGGGACACTTTTTTTGGCTTTCCCTGTGCCACCTGCTGCCACTGCCCAGACGGTGCTGGCAGCAGATGTGGGCAGGGCCCTGGCAGCTCCAGTGTCTCTAGGGTACCTGCTCCCAGGTACCACCATGGTTTGTACCTGCTTCTGCTTACTGCTCTGTGGAGGAGCTGCGTGTACTAGTGGGGTGATTTGATCCGGTGGTTAAACTGACTCCTTATAAGGACTGTGCCTAGATGCCTTTGGGAGAGGTGGGCGAGGAGATGGGACAGGGCACTGAGACTGCTGTTTGAATAATAAAAGAATAGCTCCAGTTAAATCTGGGCTGACGTTCCCTAGGGAGCTGATACTGCCTTCACTTACTGACATGATTTCTTTTTTGCACTTCACCTGTGAGTATCGCCCTCACCTCCCACATACTACTTGCACCATCAATTCCTTACAGCCTGCTATGCTGCTTTCTTCTAGGGTTGCATGCTGGATCTGAATCCATTAGTGCTTAATGAGCTAGATATTTAAAGCTTACCATTTAGATTATACCCCTACGTTCTTCTAAATGAATACGCTTCAAATATTTACAAATCAAAAGTAAGCTCATTTAAAATGCCACTAAGTTAAGCTGATTCTACTTGCTTGAACTAATATCTCTGTATAGTTCATCAGAATTAACCAAAACATGTGGACGTGGACGTTTCAGTAGAGAGACAGACAGAATAAGACGGAAATCTCATCTCCATTTGTAGAAGTCCTAATTATCCTGACATTTAACAGGGTACCAGTTTTCCAATAAAAATACAAATGAGGAAATTTCTTTAATCAGAGCACAATATGCAAGGCCGCCTCAGAACAGTCCAAAGTAACACAGACTTGAATGTTAAATGCCTATAAATATTGGAAAAACAGTTTGTGAGGAGTTCTGGGCCTTTACCAGAGCTGATGCTCTTTAAGGCTGTGATTTCCCCATAATCCACCTAGTAGCTTTTGAACTCAGTGCCTGTTCCGAAAGTTGGCAGAGAGACAGAGGTCTCAAAGACCTTACACTTTGATATATTTCTTGAAAACTGATGGGGCAATAAGGGAAGAAGCCAGCAGTACTGAGGAGGAGGAGGAGAGGTTTATCATGTGGGCATGAAATACAAATCTGTAGGGAATAAAGCTGCATTAGTTCTACTGCTTGTGAAATATGTTGGTTTTCATTTACAATGAACTATGCAAGCTGATACCAAAATCTGCCAGAAATCCATGTTTTGTTATTTTGTTAACAGTGATTTGCAATTTACCGTATGCTTTGTCATTATTTTGAGGAGGCTTTGTTGTTTTGTTTGGTTTAGAAGTGAGCTCACTTACTTACCTGTGCAGTTTGGAGATGGAATTCAAACACTGTTCTTTGGTCCATTGCACCAGTTTTATGCCATGATTTTATTGAAGGCCATATAATATGTGTTAAAAAGACAAGCTGAATATATTTGAAACTGGCATGCTAAATAAAATGTGGGAAGAACAGAGGGCTTTTTTTTCCTTGGAGGGGGGAGGCCTGCCATTTTTGTGTAATGAAACGATTTGGAAACCTTCATAAGGCGGCCTCCGTGCTGGAAATGGACTTTGGATTCCTGCTCAATAGACTAGAGGCTGATGATAAATCATGGTAAACCACGGCAATTACCTGATCTAGGTGGGGGGCTGGGGCGGGGGAACTGGTAGCTGCACATCTTCTAGGGCAGATTATAACCTCCTAACTAGGTTATAAACCCCCTTTCCCCTTTTATGTAGCTGAGAACAGTAGTCTCTTTCTTGTAAATGAAGTCTCCTACAGTGGAGATTGCTGGCTGAGAGTCTGAATTAAGAACACAGGAGGAAAGACAAAAGAGCGAAGCCTGTTTAATTAGCATGAAAGATACTCCCCCTCCTAAATCCTCCAATCCCAGTTTAGCAGAGCATAGGGGTTGTTAGCACTGAAAGGTCTGACTTGCTGACTTGGGTAAATGCAATGCTCAGCAGATGAAGTCATGCATAATTAATTGTTCTTTTTTGCATTCTTTCCAATGTAATGACTTGTAGCATTCACGCTTATAATAATTGACGTTTTCTATGTGCAGTAGCTTTAGGACAGCCAATTAAGGCAGTGGAGGTGGTAGCTGTGCAGCATCTCTAGTATCTGTGTGTTACCAACATGTGGGCTATAACTTCTTTTTTTTCTTTTCTTTACTTATTTCTAGTGCCTAAAACAGTACATGCAGCTGGCAATTCAAGAAGGTTGTGGTTCTCCTATCACATGTCCGGACATGGTATGCTTGAACCATGGGACCCTACAAGAAGCAGAGGTATCAACACTTTTTTCTTTCTCTTTTTTTGTTAACATAAACCCCCCGAACTTCTTTATCTACATAATAAATGTGATCATACACTTTTTCCTCCCTTTGATTACCTTTAATGAGCTTTTGGCAAGAAGCCTGACTGACAAGAGGAACTAGAAACAAACAGATGTTTTTCAAGAATTTTGCTCCTTTTTTCCTCCCTCTGTGCCTTGAGGAAAGGCTTACTTGGCATCTGGACAACCTCTGAGTTACCCATGCAGGTGACTTAACCAGAATACCCTGTATACCAGAATCGCTGAGCCTCCATTAGTACTGTCAGTTAAATCAGATTTGATTTGACTGCAAACACTGAAATTCTTGCGCCTCTCTTAACTCAAGAGCAAGAATTCAAACTGATGGTACGCAAGGCCAGAATTTCTTCGTGCATGTTTATGTGGGGCTCCAACAATCAATTTGCACCCAGTATAAGCATGCAAGACTCTGTATAGTTATATGGAAAGAAAGGTATCTGCACAGCACTGGTGGAAGTAGGTCTTAAGAGATATGAGAAGCATCTTCATTCCCAAGGCAGAGATGGGAGAGGTTGACAGCTCAGAAGCTAAATGAGGTTTAGGCAGAGCTGTTTGCACGTCTGGCATGTGCACCATCTCCCAGAGTAACTGGAAGGTTCAGTTTGAAAGTTGGAGGTGGAGAAGAAACTGGAGGGAAAATGTGCTCCTCAGACCTTCTTGCACTGCTTGGGACAACGGGGTTCAAGGGGGCTGTATATGGCCCCTACCAGGCTGCCTGATGGTCTCCCAGCAATGCTCAAGCAGCCTCCTGCCTGACTTAGGGCTGGTGTGAAGTTTCTGAATTGGGCTTAGCGCCAAACCCATGACATGGGGAGGAGCTGCTGGCAGCATGGCTGGAACCCTCATATGTGCCAGATGTTCTGTGCGTCTAGAAGGCCGTGGAAAATTGCGGGCAAATCTGATGTTGCCCTGTGGCTATTCTTGCCTGCTTGCTTTGTGAGCCAGGTAGGCCCCTGCTGGGCCTGGGAACACAAGCAAGAAAAAAAACAAACCAGGAAAAAAAGGTGGTTAAGGGATTGTGGCTGGTTTTGTGCATTCTGTCTGCATTTTTTACAGGGACAAAATCAAGGAGAATCAGATCTCCATCCCTGAACTGAAGAAAAGCAGCTTATCTTCTGGGTTCCCTTGAGCCCTATGTGTACAGATGACATAACTGTGATAGAAGTACATAATCCTGTTCAAATGCAGTCAGTGGCAATGCAATTCCCAATACCAAAAATGCCTTTTTCTCCAGAAAAAATCAGGATCTCCTCTCCAGCATGCATTTGAAACGCTGTGCTTAGCTGAATCAAGGCCTGGGAGTCACAGCTATGTTTGTTACGGCGTACAGGCATATGGTGGAGCTTTTCTTTGGCTGAATCCAGCTACTGTGGAAAGTAGCCAGCTGTTTCCCTTCCTCCTTTCTTCTGCATAGATACAGAGAGGGCGTAGCAATGTCCCTCCCACCCATTGCACCAGATTGGAGGCAACTAGCCTTTATTGAAAATGCGTTTTTTAGAGATAATTAACAAATGGTAGGAAGAATTCTGCTCTGTTAACCTAGGGTTATGACGCTATAGGAATTACAGAGATGTATTTCCCCTTAATAAAGCAGGAGGACACTCCAGGGCATGTATTAATGGACCATTAGCTTAATCCTTGGGTGCTTTTTGGGCTGAAGGCAGAATGACTAAACAGCCCAAATGTGCATTAGTGTCCCATGGATGAATGAATGTTCTGACGCTCCCTTTTGGCGATGCGCTTGAAACACAGACCTTCCGCTTGAAAAGCAAACAGGCCCCCAAACTGGTTGAAATGAACTGCCTATTTTTTTTACCAAATACCTATTTTTTTAAGGAAGAAAACTCCCCCAAACCCCAGGAACAACGGAAAGAATAGATTGTCTCTGTTAATAGTCTGAAAGATTAGTATGTAAACTACAGATTATGTATGAGCACTCTCTGTTCTTTTTTCTTCTCTGTAAAGGCTGTTCCATGTGAAAATGTGGCCTTTAAAAACTATTATTTAAAGAACAGAACCTTATTCAGATGGTAGAGAATGTGTTTCAATATGGTTATTGTTTGGCATGGAAGTACTATTTAGAATTACAGTTTAGTCATTACACACGCTGAAACTCCTAGTGTAAAAGTATGAGTCTTCTCACCTCTGGAGGGTCTGGATGTTTGGTCTCTGGCTTCTGGCAGAAAAAGGTTCCTCATCAGGACAGTGCCATGAGGAATGACATGTTGCCTGTACCAGGAGAAAAAAAAATTGGTCTTTTTTTCTGTCCTGTGTTAGCATCAGGGTTTTGAAAAAGTCCATTCCAGACTCTGCTGTGACTGACGTTTACCAGATACCGTTATAGTTTGGAGAAAAAATAGCAGTTCAAACTGTCTTTGTCATGGACATGGTGTTAAATTGGTTCCTATACTTTGGGCTAAACTGTGTCTAATTATGTTCGCTAACGTGGTTGTTTTGTTTGCTTTTTAAATGCCTTTTGCCCTAGCCTGCACAAGGGAGATAAGGTGAACTTAGGCATAATTTGAAGTGAAGGAAAGCCTTTCCGTTGACTTCAGTGCATTTTGGATTGAGCTCTCTACAATAACGAAACTGAACAATTAATAACAAAGCTTATAAGCAATTTATAACACATTATAGCTATGAAAGTTCTTCTATTTCCCTCTCTCAAGGTCCTTATTCAAGGTGTGTAACATTTATTCAGTGCTTTCCAGTGACCTATTTGTCTTCATTGTGAATTAAGTCTGTTTCATCTTCTCGGTAAAATTCTTAAGAGTTTATCTTGTTTGGTACTAAATTATGAGAGCCTTTTCACAGCTCTTGTCATCATTCTGAGACACGTGCTTCTTGTGTTGCTTTCGGGGGGCGGAGAGGAGCAAGAACTCTGGTTAACATTTTAAACAGGGAGTAGAATTTCTTCTTGTATGTCTCATGGAGAAATGAGCAAGTGAATAGTAGGAATGTGGCTCTCTAAAACAGTTGAATATTTCATCAGTGTTTGGGGAGTAAACTGCTTATGCATAGAGTATAGGAGATGTTGGGAGTTAAGGCTTTACTTTTGGTAAGCTAGAACATTGTGTCTCACTGGACTTCAGAAGAAAATGTTCCAGGTTTTTATTCTTAAAAAACCTAAAATGAAAAGTCATTTGAACTAGAAAACTGTACTTTTCAGTACTTTGAAAATATGTTTTCTGAAATCCCTGTGTTTGGTTGTTTTTTATTTTTACTTTAACAAAACCTAGCTGAAACTGGTATGTTCCCCAGCATTTCTTTTGTTTTGACAAATAGTGCGTTCAAACAGAAGGAATTGTTCCACTGGAGTGCTTGAAATCAAGTGCAATCCTAGGTTGTATCTTGACCTGTTACATCAAGATAGCAGCTGCTTGTAGTATAGCTGGTTTTAAGTAGAAATAAATGGGTGTTGGTGGTGGGAACGCACTGGTTTTGGCTACAGACTCTGTTTCAAATAGCTGGTTACACAAAAAAAACCAAAGTTTAAAAGCAAGCTCGTTAAACAAGATGTTTGTCCTTTCAAGCTCTAATAGTACAATAAACAAAGATGATTTGGATTCGTTCCTGGAAGCAGAAGGTAGAAGGAACATCTTACGTTAACGCAGTTCTCTTTAACTGTGCAGACTGCTGTCTAGAATATTCCTGTCTCTCTTGGGAATCTGCTCCGTTGATTTAATTGGACCAGTTAATATCCCTAATCTGAATAAGGGGTAATTTATTATGGTTTGAAATGGTTTTACTTGGTGCAAATCCAATCATCAGTGCAAGCTATGAATCAGGGTAAGTCTCAGCTGCATACAGGGATTTCTAATGCAGTACTCACTTGGATGATGTCTACGGGATTTCTGATTCCTGTATTGTTTTGAAGCTTGTAACATTGATTCCAATGACCCATTTATACATAATCTGATTTGGATTAAAACCGTGCAGCAGGCAGTAAAGGAGATAGTGATTTGGGCTTTTCTTTTGCCTCTGAAGTTCGAGAAGGAGAATTACCCCTGTGTATGCAGTGCAGATTCTGCTTATTGTCCCTCCGTCTGTGTAAATCCATGATCTACACTAGTGCTAACCTGACAGAGGGTTGTCAGCGCTTTGTAAAGTGGTGCTGAAATGGGACAGTGACCCAGATCTTAGAATTCTTAATTGCGTTATATTCCGCACATAGCTGAACAAAAATACCGTTGGGAGTCAGTTTAAAATACCAGTTTTATTTTTAATTTGAAAATGGGTTTACATTTTGCTAGGGGCAATTGAAATGGTAAAATGAGGAGGAAGGTGAGAAAATGTTGCAGGCCAACCTGTCTTTTTCAGGGTCAAAATGAAAATTTTTATTCTTCTTATTTACTCATTCTTAAATAAATAAAAGGGCAGCAAATGAGAGAGTCTTAATTTGTTTTTATTTGTCAGTACTTAAGAAAAGAGCTCCTTAATGGAGAAAATGAATAATTTAATATTTCCTGATGACTCTATTGAGCATGGTAGCTGATGAAGAAAGGTGTGGGTGTCATTTCTAACAATAAAGAGATTGAATGCCCATACCCCTTTCAAAAGCAAACCACAGCCCAAGTTAAAACTATTTTGCACTCTTGCAAAACTAGACAGTGCCTCTGTGAGTGGGACTTTCGCAGAGAAGGGCAATGCAACCCTTTCCGAGTAACAGTTGCTGCTGCCAGTGCAGGATCTGCCCTTGCTGCGTATCTGCTAAAGCGAGAAAGGGAGAAGCTGGTCCTGGTGAACTTTCCTCCCTTGGCATTATCGAGATTTGATTCATATGGGTGTGAAAGGAAGTAAGGTCTATTCAGTTTTCTTGATTGCCTCCTTGCATCTCCCTTGAAAGCCTGAGAATAGGTGGAGTAGTGATTTTCCCTTTCCACTGTGGTAGCCAGTGTTTAAAAACAGGGGAGTTGTTCTTCCTTGCTCTTGGTTACTGCACTGCCAGGGTTACAAGGAACAGGGTATAATATGCCCCTGTGTAAACTGAACCCAATTATTTAATACCTTTTCATTTTCCTTCCTTTGCTCTTTTGTCTCGTGTAGTAATAGCACCCCTGGTTATCATACCACATTGGGCAGTCTTTTTGGACACTTGGCAAGAGTCCATCTGGAGCCTTTTGTGGTAGTGACCCTTCAAAATTTTGCTTTTTTCCATGGATATTTTTACTTCAGGTGAAAGCTGCTGTTCTTAGCAAGAGCTCTTACGTGTTCTTGTGCTCTATTACAAGAGTATTTTAACTGCAGACATTGCTTACAGGGTACAGAAAACCAGAAAACTTACTTAACTCCCAACAATCTGGTAAGTCTCAAATCAACATCTTTTCAGGAGAGGAGAGTCCTTGCCTCTCATTTTCTTCATAGGTTTTTATTGTAACATTAACCCAGCATTAAAAAAAAAAAAAAGGCCCTAAAACTTGTCCTGTAGCATTTCTTGCTGCATTGAATAATTTTGTAGCCTAGAGTAAGAAACGTCTGCTTTCTGACGTGCTCGTGGTCTTTCTCTTTTGGCCCTTCGCCATCTGCCGGGTTGCTAGTTTGCTTCCTCCCCAGATCTCCATCCTCTGTCCAGGCCAGGAGTGTGTGCGGTTGTGCAGGAGAGGAGGTGTTTGGGATGGACTCCTGGGTGGGGCTGGAGAAGTTGGGTGAAGATGAACATTTGGACTCTGATGCCAAGTAGGAGGAGATAAACACATAATCCCTTTCCATGCTTACACCTGTCCTTCTCGATTAAGTGTAAATGAGATTAAAAGTTCACTGAGGAAAGAATTTGCTATTTTTTTGGAGGACCCGATACTCACGTTTCAATTTTTTTTCAACTGAGTTTGGATGTACAGCTTTGATGTAGCACTGAATTCAGGCAGCAGTAGATTGTGCATTCCTTTCCTCATGCCTAAAGATACTAAATCCGTGAGGAGCTTCAGCTCAGCACCTCTCAGGTCGACCTCCATCTGGGTACTATCAAAGAGCTGGTCTTTCAAAGCCTGGGGGAGTCAGTGGCAGAGGTGATGGGCTGCGTGTGTCGGTGCCCGGAGCTGCGTGCAGGGAGCGGGGAACTGAGCTGTGAAGAGGCTCTGTAGGAAGAAGAGTGAGGCTGGGTGAAACTGGTGGGGAAGGCTGGCGTGGTAAGATCAGGTTTTCAATAGGAGAAGGGGAAGCTTTCAGCACTGACTCTGCTTCCTATTGAAATCTGCAATACAACTCTTAACTCTGCTCCCACTGTAATCAAAAAGGCCGATTTTTAATACATGGGAAATTCTAGCCTCAATAAAACTGCTCTTGAAAAACTTTGTTAAAAGCAAGAGCAAGCACAGAAAGACCCCAGACAACTAAACAATTCATTCAAGTGGCTCTTACAGCATTGAGGCTCGCTGTTTTAATTTAGTCATAACGAAGGGAGAATTTGTAGTAGTTGCCAATCCTCACCCAGCTAGAGAAAAGCAGATGACTCTCTCTGTTTTCCAAACTCTATTTAGATTTGAAGCTGCCCTGGGGGGGGAGTGGGCAATACTGAAATGATGTGTCTTGTGGGTTTTATATAGCTTTGTTGGTTGGCTTCATTCTTTGCTGAAGTTGCTGAACTTCACTCTTTTTTCCCCGTTTGATTAAGTTATTATTTGTTTTCCAAGAGTGTTTCAGCTGACTTCTGATGAACAGGTGAAGAGTTTCCCAGGAAGCTCTCTGTGTCTTACAGTCATATTAATGTGATATTGTTTAGCTATGCAAATACTTTCATATTAAAAATAGTTTACACCCTGAATTCAGAAACTGAATGAAGACAATACTTTGAGCCAGGGCTGACTAAGAATATGCTTTGTAAAGATTTGTTGCTGTTTCCCATTTTGATATTAAATCCTTTGATTTCTTCTTCTATAAGTCTTTTAAACATCTTTGAACACTTAAATCTTGACATCAGTTGGATTATTTTTTGTATGACATTGGTTTAGGTCAAATAAATGATCCAAACCATCTGCTTCAAAATGCAATTTTAATTCCAATTGATTTGAGATCTCGATAAAGCAATTTCATATTTTATAATATACAAATAGACATTTTTTTTTCTTTTTTCCATCTATGAAAGCAAATGTATTCACAGCATGATATTGAATATATATTGAATTTTTTGTCTTTGTATTTCTTCTCATGAGTGCCATGTCACACAACCCAGAAGGATAGCAAGGGCCAGTGTCCACTTCAATGAGGGCAAAATTTTGCCTTTTACAGTAATGTGAAGGACTGTCATGGGATACTGGATGTGAGGGTTGAGAGCCCTTCACTTTGAAACTGTCAGTTCTACACTGTCTCACAGTGCTTCAAACGATCAGGTCTTGTATTAGTGTTAGTCTAGGTTTATTTTCAGTAAAAGAGAAAGATGTTTTCAGTGCTGGTACAATATTACGAATGGATCAAATAAAGAGAATGATCTCAGATTGAGTCCAACAAACATGTGGCTCCTGAAGTGTCTGTGAAGTTTCTTTTGAACCCCTCCTTGCCCTGTATGCAGGTTTGCTTATTAGTTTTAAATAGGGTACTTGGTTTTCTTATATAGACTGTTAATTGGAGATTAGAGCATTTAGCCTTTAGGCTGCTAGTTTAATTGTGATAATGTGTAAAATGTATCAGCAAAGCCTGTTTGTCTATGCCAACTAAATTTGTTAGGTTCAGTCCAGTTCCCAGTGGGCTGGTGCGTGTCTAAGGCAAATTCCAACAGCAATGGCATTAACTGTCTCAGCCTAAACCCCATGAAGTGAATAAAAAATGGAAACCAGACTAGCTTTTAAGTTCCTGAGAGCTAAGTGACCCCTGCCATTAAGACTGGGAGACATGAATGAGGAACCATTCATTTGAGCTGTATTCTTGTGCGTGAACAACATGCTGCAGTCTCCAAGGCTGGCAAGCTGTCACCCTTCGTTACATTAAACCAACATGAAATAAAACTGAGAAGCCTGAAGTAAATAAGGAATCCACAGAGAAGGCTTTCCTATGCATGGTAAGAAAGATGTGGGCTGAACCACTGGGCTGTATGGCTGAAATAGGAGAGGTCAAGCACTACTTTATGTTTTGGAGAAGGAAATCAAGGTACGGAGGAATGTGGTGGTGAAAGCAAGCAGAAGAAGAAGATGGATTTGAGAGCCAGCTCTGGAGAGCAGGAGTGTAGAACAGGGTGCTTATTAATTTTTTTCAAGTCTAAGTTTCTAATGCTTTTTCTGTGTGTTTGTTTCTCATTTCAGATTGCCTGTTTGGTGCCTGTTGACCAGTTTCAGTTATACAAGAGGCTGAAGTTTGAACGAGGTGCGTTCTATTACCTTCCTTTTTAAAGTGTCAGTGGAGGCAGCAATATTACATACTGCAAAGACAAAGCCTGTTCGGTGAGTTAAGGAGGAGACAGAGAAGATGTCTTTGTTCTGAAACGGTTTAAGATCTATCACTAGGTCTGACTGTGCTCCACAGACAAATTTGAAATTATTTCAGTGGAGCAGAACCAACAAAGTGGCATCTTACTGAAATACCACGCTTTTACTCAAGCTTGTGGGCAACACTCTCAGGTTGCGTGTCTGAGGCTCCATCATTCTTCCCACAACATGCTCGTGCTGGGGCCTTGAGGTGGTGGTTGTACTGGTAGAACTAGGCAAGGTGCTAGAGACTGGTGCAGGGTGCACGCGGTCCTTTCATACATCCATAGGGATCTTCAGAACTTCGGAGGGGGAGAGACCCTGCAGTGTGATGGTGATTTTTGCAAACATCCCTGCAAGAGAGCTTTTCTTATGTAGAAGCCTCATGTGTCTTCATCTAGTATATTTTTTTTTTCCCTGAGGAATAGTTGGACCCCTCATTACTGAGTAAGGCCTATTAGTAAAGAAGTTTGAAACTGAAGGTCTTACTGGGGCCAAGCTTTCCTATGCCAGAGGTCAGCCTTCTGCTTCAGGAGACGGTTCCTTGCTAAGGCTGAAGAAGAAACTTGCTAGTCAGAAAGGTGAGGTCCCACACTGGTTTTAAAGACTGACCCCAACTTGAAAGTCTCAGCTGGAAGTTGCAGTGTTTTTCAAAGAACACACTCTGTGTTAGCTTGCAGGGTACTGTATCTGGACCTGATCTGCTCTGACTCTGCCTGTTTTCAAACTTTCCTTGAAAGACTGTATTTGTGTTCTTGCTTTGCGTGCATGCTTAGAGGCAGATGGATTGGGAATGTATGAAAACGCAGAGGTTCATAAAAGTTAGGACAGTAATGCACTTGAAAAGATGGTCAGATAGAAGAATATATGGGTTTTTACACAATCTCATCTGGCACAAGTCACGGTGAATGACCAGAAAGTACAAAAACTGCAAAATGAGTATATCCAAGTATGCCCCAGAGTTCCTGGGCAGATGCAGATTGTAGCTATGATTTGCTATGACTGCAGGCACTCAGGTCAAAAAAGACAAAAAATCCCAAACCCTGCTTTCATTTTTTATTTCTCTCTCCTATTTTACCTTTTTCTCATTTACCTTTAATTGCTTAGGAAGTCCCTCCAGTTCATAAGCCAAGCAGTGGCTTGCCTACAGCCCTAGACAGTGGAAATCAGAGCCTGTTAAATCACCATATTAAAAAAAGTGAAACATTCTTGCAATATGTTAATCTGTTTTATGTAAAACCTTTTTCTAACTGAAGACTGTGAAACTGATGATTTCCTGGTATCTCCTCCTCTATAACTAGCCAAAGCTGAACTCATGATCTTTTGTCCAACTCTCTGTTATATCTCTTTTTTTTTACTGCCTCCCACACACAGAAGCCTGAAACTTGTCTATTTTTTAAATCCTCCTTCCCTTTTCTTTCTTGCCTAAGTCTGACAAATCCTCCTCCACCTCCACTACCTCTCTTCATGATGTTTCTAAGATCTGTCCTTGCTCCTTTATGATGAGTAAAACTGGCGTCCAAGCAGCAGGCTTAAACCTTAACCTTTTTGCCTTGCCTTTTGGCCCCAGCAATAAATCCAGCTTACTGATGCCTGAGAACAACGTTTCCTGCTAACTCAAGCGCTGATCTGGACACCAGACCTTATCCCAACCCCGGCCAAGACCTTTTGCATATCCTGGATTTAGCACTGCCCCCAAGGCTAACCTTTTTGGACTCATCAGCTGGATCTGGATTATTAGCTCTGCTGGCCTGAAGCTCTGTTCTCAGACCTGACCCTAGCCTGGCAATGCCTGCCTGCCCCGACCAATGCCAATACTGGCCTGAGGGTCTTTTTCAGAAACTAGCAGTAAACCTTCCTGATGGCACCTGCTGGGGCCAAATTCTGACCTGGAATCTGCCCAGGGTCTCCTGGCAGCTGAGATCTGATGTGTGCCGTGTGTCTGTGTCAGCCATAGTGCAACCTAGCCCTTTTCAAACGTAGCCCTACACAAAGCCCAGGGCTTTGCCTAACTCAGCCCTGCCTAACTCTGCCCTCTCCCACGGGCTCTCGCCAACCGCAAAGACTGTGTGCCTCACGATCCATTCTCACACCAGTCCTAAGCCAAACTCAGCCCTGGCTCTTTGACCTAGCAGCAAAAGCAGTTCATGGATCTTTGTGTTGAACCATGGGCCTTTCCCTAAAAACACGTGAGCTCCAGTCAAGATGCAGCCTGGCGGGCAGGGCTGATATCAGCCAGAAGCTGAGCCAAGTACACCTGCTGAGGGCCATGAATTCATCTCATTTACTTAATGACAGAGAACATTTTGAAGAACTGAAATACAGCATAATAGTAGCATTGCTCTTATCAGCCTTTCAGGGTTCATTTAAAAAAGAAGAAAACCTTTATACTTGAAATATTTTGAGCTCCCTTTTCTTCTTAGTTTTCAGGTTTTTTCTTCAGACCAGGTGCTGGGGAAGAGCTAACTTGGGCTTGCTAGGGTTTTTTGTTGCTGGGGAGTTGGAGTCAGCGTGATAGGGGGAGTAAATAGAGAGAATGAGTTTTCCAGACCATCATCTTTTCCGTTCTTGCAAACGCAATAGCCCAAATTCTGATTCTTAAAATAGGCAGTTACTAAGGTGTCCTTCATGACTTTTGCTCTGATCAACAATGCCCTTTATTCAAACCCTTCAGCTTCCTCTATTCAGACCCTTCTTCTGTCAGCTTTATTCCATTGAGATACGGGCTCTTTGCTTTGCTAGAAATGCTAGAAATAAATAACCAGCTTCTTGAGTAAGTCAAAAGACTTGCTCTTGCTCTGTAGTCTTTGCTTACCAGTCTTTAAGTCATTGGTAAAGCCAATGCTTCTCACCTTCCAGACATTTTCCATCTCAAGATGAATTCTGAGGAAAATTTTGAAGACCTGAAGAACAACTTATACATCCAAAAGCTATTTTCCCCATCCCCCATCTGTGCTAGCTATTTTAATAAAATAGATTTCTTCTCCATTTCCTTGTTTTTAAAAAAATGGATGAATAATATTGGGTGAAAAAATAATGAGAAGAAATTGGCATACAATTGTATATCTATAGACACTTGCGTAGTTCAATAAGGAATGCACTGAAAATATTCTGTCCTCTTGTGTTTTTTGTGTTCTTAGAGTGCAAATGTTTTCAGGCTTAAAACCAAGCTTTCTTACATATCTGAAACTTCTCTGCATCCAGTCAGGACTTATCCACAGAGCTTCCATGCAGCGTATTTTAATAGAAGAAACAGGAATTGCTCTGTGTCTATTTAGGATGGGGTTGATGTGGTCATCAGAAGTAATGAAATAGAGGAATAGGATGTGGTTAGGACATAGGCATTTTATTTCTATTTCTGTGACAATTGTCCAATAGGCCAAGTGGTAGATGATGAGAACCTCCATTTTATGCCTGACTGAAAAGTAGTCTGTTTTAAAAGGAGGTGTTCCTAATATTCTGCAAAAAGCATAGGCTCATCCTTTCAGTGAGTACCTCTCCTAAGCCAGAAATTCTCCTTTCTTCAGGGTGCTGCATTTCCCCTGTCTGTATCCCACATCTCATCTGCTTGCTCGCGCATTTTGTGAAAACTGGCCAGATCCCTGCCCGGTACTGGCACTGTTTGGGAAGGCTTTCCTCCTGAGAGTGGAGCGAGTGTGGCTGAACTGGCTGTGCGGAAGCAGGGGAAGGGCTCAGGAGAGAAATGGCCCTAGCCAAAAGATGGAGCAGCTTGTCAGAGCAATATGATAGCCTCTTTCCTTTTTTTGGCTGCTCCTTTTTAGTTTTTTCTGGTTTCACTTGTACTCCGTGGTAAACCAAACAGTATGAGACAGCATGGATTGCAAAACACCATCTGTAGGTTCTTTGTAAAATGGAGGAAGTGGGAGAGGAGGAAGTTTCATCTCAAGTGTTACATCTTGATGCAACAAATTTGTAAAAGTCAGTAAGATCTACAGCCCAACTCCCCTCCTCCCAATGATGTCAAAACCAGACATCCTGTCTTTCATCCAAAAACAGGATAGGAGAATTTGGCTTTCCAAAGTTGAGTATGGTAAGCAGCTATCTGCAGGAACTGCACTTTATCTCATTTTAACTGCTGTTTATCAACAGAAAGCATACAGAACCTACTGTGTAAAGACTTAAATGTAATAGCCAGTACTAGGCCATGGTTTTACCCAGTTCAGAGTTTCTTTTAAGAGGCACTGAGGGAAGCTACAGAAATAATGATTTCTCAGTCAGGCCACCACTTTTTAAAAGCATATAAAAATGTGAAATGGCTTGTACTGCCCATCCATGTCTCTCTCTTCTCCCCACAAATGAAGCTGCAAACTATTTTGTCCTGGCTTTCATTCAGTAGAAAGCAAAATGTTTGTTTGTTTTGGGGAGCAAAGGAAGCAAGTGTAAGAGAATAAGAAGAAAGAAGGCAAATAGATTCATGAAGTGGCTGGAGGTAGATGCTACAGGTGTTTTGCTGGCACTGCCTAAATTGTAGATGACAGCCTTTGCCATGGATGTAGAAATTCTCCACATCTGTCAGAGCACTCTGACACAGACTTAAAAATTACCTGTAGTCGGAGCATTGTGTACCTGTGTGTCCTGCAGCCAGCAGAGAGGATGATCATCCTTACATGGTTCCTCACTGTAAGTGTCCTGGCAAACAGGAGGGAGGGATGGCTTTAAAGAAACTGGAAGTTTTCAAGGTGAACAGAGAGGTTTCGCATACTGGAAAAGAACTGAGTTTCTAGTACACGTTAGGTTATAAAGTTTGTGGGGTGTCCTTCTCCCCAGGTGTTCGTGCATGTGTATCTAAATGCTTGAGAACTTGGGGGAAAGTTTTACTTCTTTGAACACATTTCTAGTTGTACAGTTTCTAGTTTCTGAATATTTGGACACTGAACTGATATCACCGTTTTTCATGCTGACTGGAGCATCTGCTAGATATCCACCCACCAGCCCCCTTCACTGTGGGTTACCAGCAACCTCCTGCAGAGGAGCAGTGCAGGCAGCGGGGTGTGCATAGGAGGAAGTGCCTTCAACTGTTTCAGCAAAATTTGCCAGAGAACATACGTCTGGGGCCCTTATGCAGTCTTTTGTTTCAAGTGGGACACTATTTTGTCTTCTGGAGGTACAGAACAACTTTGTAATGGCTTTTGACACCTCACAGTCAGGGATTTCCACCTGTTCCTGAGACATCCCCTCCATCTATTTATTTTCAGTGGTGGTACCAGAGAGCTCCCAGGGAAGGAGGAGATGGAGGTAGCTCCTGCAGGCACGACAGCCCTTTTCCAGGGAGGCTCTGCAGGGTGGGAGTATTTGGCTGCGCCTCATGGACTTGAGCAGTATAAAGTGCATGCACAATGGGCACCCCTGACAGTGAACGTGTCTCAGATGGGTTTCTGTTGCAAGTCTAAATTTATTGAGTAAAGGTTGTGGAGTGAGAGGAAGAATCTACATTTATCATTCACTGCCACGTGGTGATGTCTCTAACTCAATGCCTCCACCCCGAATCTTGACTTTTGTTGTAATCTGATACCTTGCAAACAGTGATCATATAATAAAGTGAATATTAATTGGAGTTTGTAGATAGAGGGGAGAAAATAAGGCATGGAAAGTGACTTGATGTTAATTTAATGACAGTCCTTCTGCTATTTACGTGAAAAATACTGCATGGCTTGGACACGTGGAAGACACGGAATGGCTTAATGTCACAAAAGACACGTGCTTCTCAGCAAGCAGCAGTTACATTTGTCTTTTGTACCTCCCTAAAAAGGCAAAGAATACCTCCCATGTCGTGTATTGCCAGTCTTGCGATGCTAGTGCATCTACTGCAGCTGCCTTGGCAGAGCATAACTGCAGACCTGCCTAAAGAAGAGGAATATGCTGAAATGCCCATGGGCGTGGGTGCGGAGGACTTCATCTTCCCCACCCACACGCAGAACTGGGTCTTGCGTACCTAGACACATGCTGCTGGAATGAGAAGGGGACTGTATAAACAGTTTTATTTCTCTCTCTGTTACATTTTAGAAGTTCACTTGGACCCCCAGAGGACGTGGTGCCCTGCAGCCGACTGCCAAACGGTGTGCCATATTGCACCGAGCAAGTCAGGAGCACCGGTGCCGGTGGAGTGCCCGGCTTGCTGCCTGACGTTCTGCTCTTCTTGCAAGGAGACATGGCACCCGCAGCGCCTGTGCCAGGAAAACCAAACTACTCCAGTACCAACTGAGCAGGGGTAAGAGGGGAACCCACAGAGACCGCACAGTCTTTTGTTTCTTTTTGGCACGGGGTGCTAGCTCTGTGCCTCACATCAGTTTCATGGAACAGCTTCCTTCTAGCTCCTTAGGTGCATCTCTGAGACTGTCCATCTCTTCTGGTGTTTCCTAAATATAATTCCAGTCTAATTATCATAGAATCATAGAATCATAGAATCATTAAGGTTGGAAAAGACCTCTAAGATCATCGAGTCCAACCGTCAACCCAACACCACCATGCCTACTAAACCATGTCCCTAAGCGCCTCATCTACACGTCTTTTAAATAATTCCAGGGATGGTGACTCAACCACTTCCCTGGGCAGCCTGTTCCAAGGCCTGGCCACTCTTTCAGTAAAGAAATTTTTCCTAATGTCCAATCTAAACCTCCCTTGGCGCAACTTGAGGCCATTTCCTCTCATCCTATCGCTAGTTACTTGGCAGAAGAGACCAACCCCCACCTCACTACAACCTCCTTTCAGGTAGTTGTAGAGCGCGATGAGGTCTCCCCTCAGCCTCCTCTTCTCCAGGCTAAACAGCCCCAGTTCCCTCAGCCGCTCCTCATAAGACTTGTGCTCCAGGCCCTTCCCCAGCTTCGTTGCCCTTCTCTGGACACGCTCCAGCACCTCAATGTCCTTCTTGTAGTGATTATTATTTTAAACGATACATTTTATTTTTTAATACTTCATATTATTTGTGTACTTACCAAGTTTGGGTTGCCACTGACACTTTTGAAAGGTGAAGCCTTTCAGGGCTTTGAATCTGCCTGAAGGCTTTGTTTGCATGCTAGAATTACGACTTGTGCCCGTACAAAAAATCCAATACACTAATATTCCGGGATCCAAACTTTGCTTATACTGTGATTAAGAAATCATCCCTGCTTAATATTTATAGAATCTCTGCATACACAAATCTTAACTCTTAGCAGAGTGTGTGTAAAATGTCCCATTTGGTGTGAAAAATCTGATTTATTCTCATTTTACATAGGTGTAAACGACCTACAGATAAGGTTACATAAGGCATTAATCTACAAAAAGAAAGCACTTTTGTGTTTAAATTATATAATGTCTGTGGCCATCCATCTTTGTTTTCAGAATCAAATTACATTCAGTCATGTGTGTTCAAAGTTTTCTATCATTTTTTGCAAGAAATGGAAGACTTAGAATCTAAGCATTCTGCTTGCTGGAGACTTCATCGAATAGCAGTTGCCAAAGAGCTCTCGCCATAATTTTTCTTCTCCAGGTTTGATCTTTGCTTTAGTGGAGTTTAAGACTATTTTGCTCAGGCAGGGACAGCGCTGTAAGTTGCATAATCCAGTCATGTTAAATGAGTTGCGCAAACTGTCTTACAAAGTGCTAATTTTTAATGCTATAGGTGATACGTTTGTGGGCACATTGAGCATTGGTTTTATGTAGCATAAAAGACCAAGGGAATGGAGTTTCACTTTTACGTGATATAAATAATCTTACACCTAGTACTGAGTATACTTCAGTGTATTGCACTGAATATAAGCTTCACATGTTGAGTGCATTAAAACAACAACATTAGATGCTCTGGAAAATAAGCACAGTACACATTTGGCAGTGGAGCTGAATGTCAACGGTAATTACATTCACATTTCACTTTAATATTTCCCTTCTTTTCTAGATCACTTATTGGAACGGAGACAGAGGCACCAATTAAGCAGTGCCCAGTTTGTCAGATCTATATTGAGCGAAATGAGGGCTGTGCTCAGATGATGTGCAAAAACTGCAAGCACACGTTTTGCTGGTACTGTCTACAGAACTTGGATGTAAGTGCTGCAGCAAAAAACAGCTAGATAAAGGGTAACGGGGTTGAGGTTAGTCTGAGGCCCTGTACAAGCTCTCCACCAACTCGTTGATATCCTAGGGTACATCTTGGCTCAATTCAGCTTCTAACTTCATTTCTTTCTTCTCATTCATCCAGTGCTTTTATTTATTCTTTTTCTATAAAGGATTAGAGCCATGTCTGTGGGTCCCATGCTAGTTCTTTGAGCGAAATGGGACAGACTGGTTGCTTTCTGGAGGTCCATTCCAGCACTACGTTTCTCTGGTTCCCTCTTCCAGTGCAGTAAAAATAGTTTGGTGGAGAGCCAGGAAGTAAGTGTCTTCCACCTGCTCCAACTGCAAGGGTCACAGCCTGTCCAAAAAATGGTATGGTACTGGGTGAAGGGGCTTGTTTCATGGGTGGGTGCGTTAAGAGCTCGTATGGACTAGGTCTCCTTTACTAGTCCTTCTCTAGTGCTGTGTTTGCTGAAGAGAATGATTGGTTAGTAGGCTCGAAGATAAAAATGTTGGATTATGAAGATGGATTATGACGTGCAGGTTGCTAGTTATTTCTCAAGTGACACCAACTAGTCTCAACTCGTATGGACTTAAAGCTTCCTAGCAGGATTAAGAGTACAGGAAGTAATGTGCTCACATACATGACAGCTTCCCTTTTTGGCACAGTCATCTGTAACAACCGTGGGAGTGTGAAAAGGACTTTACCAGCACTTGAAATAAAATGTTAGATGCTGCATGGCTTTTCTTGTTTTCTTTCTTGTACTCCACAGCCAGCAAACAATGAAGCTTCCTCATTCTTCATTCTTCCTTTTCTCAGCATGCTAAACAGGTTTCGCTTAGCGTTATGTCCCATTTCTGTGTGTGTGAGCATGCTTTTTCAACATGAGTCTTGGGCTTGCCTCAGAGTACATACAGTACACAATGATTGCTTAACACCGTGCTGAACTGCAAGGCTGTCAGATTCTCACAGACTCTGCAGACATGCTTTTACCAAGTTTTCGTCAGTTCAAAGGAAAAAGAAAAAAGAAACTGTAGTTGTGTGATTCAAATGTAGTTTTTCTAAATGTGCATGGTTACAGGAGCTCCGGGTATAGATGAAGGTAATACCTGCAGAGCCAAAGAGTAGGGCTGAAAAATGAAAGAGGAAGCAGCATCAGGTTACAGCACAGCCGGCTAGGGGAGGGTAATGCAGGGCATTAGTCACCTTCTGAAGAAAAAATGGGTAATCTAATAAGTATTACTGGGAAAAGAGAAAGGAAACGGATTTCCTACTTTTTAAATTTTCCTGTTAAGCCTAGGAAGAAAATGACTGAAGTGCAGGGATAGCAGGAGAACAGAAAGTAGAAGTACCTTGGGAAGATGATCCCTCAGATAGCTAGCTTTCAGAAATATCTGTTCTTTACAGGCCCCTGTATCATCACCAAATTATAGACTAGGTACTTGTGCAATAGGTGCAACGCGTATGCTTATGCTGTTTAAAAGTGGGGGAGGAAAGACGCTGTACAATAGCTCAGGTTTCAAACACTTTTTGAAACTGCAAGAAGTTTCTCTAGATAATTATTTAGAAGACAGGTGAACTTGCCTCCCAGCAGCTGGTAATTTTAAAGCAGTGTCAGGAAAGTTGTATTTCCAGTCCAGTCTTGAACCTCTCCCCACAGTGCTGTAACCTGCTCCTTTTGTTTTTCAGAACGATATCTTCTTAAGACATTACGACAGAGGCCCTTGCAGAAACAAGCTGGGCCACTCGCGGGCTTCCGTGATGTGGAACAGAACGCAGGTGCGTTCCTAGTCAGCTGAGCAGAGCTCTCATGCATGCATAAAGCAAAGAGATTTTACCCTTCAGTGAAAGACCAAGATGATTATTTTAATGTTTTCATCTATTTTTTGTGACCTATGCTGTGCTTATGCATGCGCACATGTATTTTATTTTCCACATTAGCTAAATACGTATTTTTCCCCACCATGTCTTTCAGGTTGTGGGCATCCTTGTTGGACTAGGTATCATAGCATTGGTGACTTCTCCCTTGCTGCTCGTGGCATCTCCATGCATCATCTGCTGCATTTGCAAATCTTGCCGAAGCAAAAAGAAAAAACACAGCCCGCCAACAACCTAAGACTCTGTGTCTGTTTGAGCCTCCATCTGTACAGCATATGTATGTGAGAAAGCACAATGGTTGTATTTTGGTGCCATACCTACCAAATAATACTCCCTTTTTTGCCAGTTCTTGGGATAAGTGCCTATTCTTTACAGGCTACTCTGTCACTAACAAATCCCAGTGTGGGAAAAGTCTAGATAGTTGTGCAGTATATATGGTATAGGTTTTTGCTTTCTAAAAGGAAAACAGGATACCATTCAGTCATTCATACCCTTAAATATGAGCCACCTTTTGAGACCGCTAGAACTTTACCATCTTCCATCAGCTGCACATGACTTGATCCTGCAGTTTTACCCTGCCTTTGCAGACCCAGTCGTTACTGTCATGCTTTCTGTTGGTTCTCGGTGACGCTCAGATTTCTCAGAAAGTTTTGAGTATTCTATAAAAGGGGAAGAGGGAAAAGCCTGATGAAGTTCTTCTGCCTGCTAGCTTGTGTCCCGTTAAAGGTTACAAACTGTTAAGAAAATATATTTGACAGTTTCCTGTCAACTGGCTGCCATGGCATTTCTTTCGGCATTGAAATAAATTTGATTTATACTATTGATCTCAATTATAGAAGTAAACCCAACAAAACTATTTCTAACTAAGATAGGGCTCTCTTTTGAGAGGCTGGACTACCCTGAGAAAGCTGTTATTTTTTCAGATCAAACATGACATATCAACCTTGAAATATTAGGAGTATGCATATATCCCTGCCATTGGGCATGCCTTTTGTCAGTAACATGGGTGAGCAAACTCGCCATGAAGCTAATATTTTAAGAAAAGCCATGATACAGTTCCTATTTTGTGTGCTGTATTGGGATCTTGGTTGTGCGTATATAGAGTGGCCGCATAAGCATGGATATACCGAGTACATATGTACAATTTGTTTGCTAGGCAGTCAGTATATTTTTTCAACAGTTTAGGTGGGGTGGCAGCAAGTTACTCAGTTACTCGTTACTCAGACCAGGCTAAGCCAAACCCTCCTTTAAAACCTTATGGACCTGCTGAAGTGAATACTTGAGAAATGCTGTGTAAATGTAAGCTCCATTCATTGGTGGGTATTTCTTCTGTCCCGCTCAAGGTTAACAAACTCTGTTACCGATATTTTTCAGTTACTCTGAATCTGAAAGGCTGTCATTGAATGAACCCTTCATTTTAATTTGGTGCCTCACCACCAAACTGATTCAGACCCTGGTATCAGTTACACCTGTATAAATTCACTGAAGAGCTGGAGTTACTCCAGGCTCACTCAGGAGTAGCTGAGGTCAGACTCTGTTCCCTAGAGTTTATTTCCTTAATGGCTGGTGCTCCTCACAACCCTGGCCAGTGGCAGCTTTTGTTCTGGACTCCCATCTGTGCATTTTATATCTGTGGGAATTGAGATGAGTTTGCACTATATAATCCATTGTAATTCCAAACCCCTTTCGGTAAGGGCTGCAAAGTTTAAATGAGATGCTCAGCCCGCGCGTTGTGTCGGGCTCACCCTCTGCCGGTCTGCCCTCTTCCATGCTCACAGTGCGAGGCACCCGGAGAGGGCTTTTTTTTCGAGCCTCAGGAACGTTGCCTTCTTGGCAGCCGTAAATGTGACCTTTTTTTTGTTTAACTTCACTCTCTGGTTACTGTAACAGAAGTGGTAGATGTTCTTATTTTAAGAAAGTGTAGTCTGTTGAGCAGACTGGCAGGGACAAAAGCCTTAAATGATATTGTCTGTTTTACTTTTTAATTGATTTCTTTTGTAAATACTGTCTGCCTTCGCTAACAGTTGTGACTGGAGGGAAGGCAGTGCTCGCCAATGTGAAAAGCTATATTTATTCTCCATCCACAGCTTCGAAGGGAAGCAGAAAGGTAGTCAGTACATTCTAAATATACAGTGCAATGCAGGCAACTGCCATTTATAATAAATAGAGAATGTTTTCTGTATGTGTTTTCTTTAAGAGCGGTAATGGTAGTGCTTGGGGGTACTTGTGACAGATTAAAGTGTCCAGCCTTTGGCTTTGCACTATTTTTCTACCTATGTTTTTATGGCACTACTGTCATTTCCATTTTATTTATGAACTTGCAGTTGAGACTCTTATTTAGCAAAGCCTCAAGGACAAAGATATAGGAGCTGTACAGTCTCTTTAACCATAACCAGCATTGCAATGTACTAATATCCTTTGCATGTTAAAATTTGTGGGGTTTTCATGTTTTGTGGTCTTACCTATGTCCAATGCACCCTCTGCTAGGC